AAGGTTGAACAGGGGAAGTACAGATAAAGAGCCCGTATGCATACAACATTTTTGTAGAGCTGATTCAGTAATTACAGTACTTCATCACAGTCGCATTTATATGATTAATGATAATCACCAGAGATTAAATAGGTGTGAAAAAACACCTGTTCTTTCCCACCTAGGCCTTTTCTAGAGTAGGATTTAAAGCTGTATGTAACTCGTGACAGCATACCTTTAAATCCTGGTCTGGAAAAGGTCCTAGAGATTCTCTAGCTGGGTAAAAGCTGCATCAGGCTATGTGTCCATCTGATGTGCCTATTCAGGTTGTGCTGTGGATAATTTCCAGGTGGAGGGAAGAAAGTCCAGGTGACTGACTGAGAGTGTTGAAGTGAGACAAGGGGAAAAGCTTATTTGCTGCAGTGCAGCGTTTGACATTTGGGTGTAGGTTGGACCCACCTCAGCTCACTGGTAGAGTGTGGTGCTGGAGGGTGCAAGCAGGCGTGGTTTTCACTGCCAGGGGATGTGTGAGGTGGAGGTGTCCCATGTCCCTGACATGGTGTGGCTGTGGAAAGGGAGGACAGCTTTGAGAGCCAAATGAGTGGTAGGGTTTATGTGGCACACTGAAGAACCAATAAACGGAAACTTTCCTTTATGTATAGCAGATACTTTGTGAATATATTTATGGACTGCATTAGCTACTATTTATGGAGCTCAATTTTAAACCACTTTCTGGTGCACTTTGTCCTTCCCACAGCTACTATTAACGAGTAACACAAGCAAGCGTTGATTTTTTTTTTTTTTTTCTGATTTCTCCTTTTCCGCCACATGTTGCATGGTTGGATTAGACTGCAAGTTAATCAGAAATAAATATGAAAATCCATAGAAGAATTATTTGTGTTTGATTTTGTAAAATATTTTATTTAGCAAATGTGTAGTTGACACAAGATTATTTTAGAGTGCTTCTGTCATTAAACTGAAGGCATAGGTTAAATCATATTAAACCAAATTGATGACAGAGGAAGGGAGATACAAGGCTTGTGCTGTAGCTCCCTGTGCTGTTTGTTGTAAACACATAGGATTATGGATTCAGGGGAAGTGTATAATGAGGCTGGTCCTTGGCTGGGAAGGCAGTCAGTTTTCTTCTGTGCTTTACTGTCAAATCAAAATAAATATATTGAATTGGGCTTTATAAGGTCTGTTCTGAATCCTCTGTTTGTAAACATTCCTTTGTCCATGTCATTGCTGAAACTTAGGTCAAATACTGTTTTTGCAGAAGCTGCCAAGCTGGGAGGAGCTGCAAATGTCTGAGAGAGCAGAACTCAGGCTTTTTATGATAGGTTGGAGAAACAAGGTGAAATAAGATCCAGTTAAAAATGAAAGTAACAAAGGTAGAAAGAATTCCTATGCTAAGGTAGAAATAATCAACTACAAAAATAAAAGATGAGGGAGAGTTAAAGGGATGATTTTGAGGGTAAAGTGCACCTCAGGAGTCTAAGTAACATCAATTATGAAAGGAGCAAATAGCATACTGGAAAGTACAAACTGAACAAGGCCTGTCAGTTGATTGACATTACCTGGGGCTCTGCTAGTGCTGAGAAGTATTACAGACAAGAGAAGTACTACTACTATAGTAGTATTGGGTGCCTCACTGTAGACTGCAATTTGAAAAGCACCCCAGGTAGAGCAGTGAAAATGATAGAACTTGGAGGAGGAAAGATTGAAAGTATTAGATGTGTTTTAGAGTAAAGGAGGGGAAGAACTAAAAGGAAACCATGTCTGAGTCTTGAGGTACGGTGCTAGGTGTTTTTGAAGGAGGATGGTAGTGCTCTTGCATTTCAAATCCACCATGGGCAGAACTGGAAACAAGACTTGAAAGGCGACCAAAGACCTGTGCGTGAGAAAATGCTGCAAGCTGGAGGTAGCAGAGCTGTGGGATGGATTGTACAGGAGCTCTGTAAATTTTGTGTTACTGATGGCTCAGACCTGGTAGGGATCTGTGAAGAATATTTATATTTTGTTGACCCTTCTGTAGAGGCAGACTGTGCAGCTTCTTGAAGGCCTTTGTAGTCTAGTCATGCTTGTTCCTCTGCTGAGGGTGGTTAGTGCCTTCCAGACTTTGGCACAGGAAGGTGGTAATAAGGCAGTACACTAACTCCATGTAGATCACTCTACAATCCATGATGGTTCACAGTAGTTTAAAGCAGCTGTTAAAAAATTTAAGTGATGAAATGACTTATAGAAGAAAATAATGGTCTTTGCTTGTCATATAGATGCCAAGACAAAATGACACCTTTTCTGAGTAAGAGGCACACTTATAAATATTGTGTATTTCAATTACTCTACTTTGCTGCTGAGCAGTAGGAAAGTTAAATGCCACAACTCACTGGTCTGATGGTAGTAAGTGCCAGGGTTAGAACAGGTCGTGGTAGGTGCTCACTGTAGTGTTGAATTGTATGTGAGTGCTTCCCACTAGCTGGCTTCTGCATTGTTCAAGCACATAGATGATGTTCAATAAGAAGACAGTTATTCGATCTTTAATTTTATTTTCAAGCATTCCTGGTCCCAGGCCTCATTTATTACATGGTGTAGAATCACAGAGTGTCAGCTGGGAGAGATATCTAGAGACTGTCTTCCCTAGCTCCTATGCAATGCCAGTACTTGATCAAAAAAGGAAAACAAAACAAAACAAAACAAAAAAACCCAAAGCTGTCACTTTGCTGAATGCTGAAAACCTCCAAGGACTGAGATCCGACCACCTGTGGTAACCCGTTTCACTGCAGCTGTACCTGCCTAGTCAAAAAGATTTCTCTGATGCCTGTTGTGATGTTCTTCTGTCTTCCTGTGGCATCAGTGTATCCAGTGACAGAGCGTTTGCTTTCGTGGTCATTACTGCATCTACCTTCTTAAATGTTTGTATTAATAGTATTGACGTTTTGCCCATAAGGACTGGAGGAACAGTGATTATGAACATTGACTATTTTGGCAGTGGTGGTGTATTGAACCTGAGAGGTGTGGGAATTTAGCACTTACAATTACACCACACAAGTAATTTTTACAACAGTTTGAACAAGACATTCTGTATGGGTGAGCATGGCCGTTACTATGGTTTTTTTAGCCTTGGAAATTGAGATCAAAAGTGTTTTACTCGGGAGATGTGGTGACTCAATTAAAGGTATGGGACTAATATTTAGGAATTCCCAATTCCCAGTTGACCTTGGCTGGCTGCCTGCCAGGTGCCTAGCAGTCTGCTCCATCACTTCCCCTGCTCAACAGGTAAGGGGGGGTAAATATGACAAAAAAAGCTCATGGGTCAAGATAAGGAAAGGGAGATCACTTGTCAGTTACCATCACAGGCAATGCAGACTCCAGGAAATTAATTTCTTGCCAATCAGTAACAGTAGAATAATGACAAGAACAAAAGCAGAAGCACCTTCTCCCAACCCTTCCCTTCTTCCCAGGCTCAGCTTCACTTCTAACTTCTCTACCTCCTTCTCTCTGCAAGTGGCAACAGGGGGGTGGGAAATAGGGCTTGTGGTCAGTTCGTAACACTTCATCTTTGCCACTCCTTCCTCCTCACACTCTTCCCTTGCTCCAGTGTGGGGTCCCTCCCATGGCAGATAGTCCTTTACAAACTGCTCTGTTGTGGGTCCTTTCCACAGGCTTCAGTCCTTACTAACTACTCCAGCGTGGGTCCCTTCCACAAGGTGTAGTCCTTTAGGAACAGACTGATCCAGTGTGGTCTCTGTGGGGCCACAAGTCCTGGCAGCAAAGCTGCTCCTGCATGAGCATGTGGTCCATGGGATCACAGGTCCTGCCAGGAGACTGCTCCAGTGCAGGCTGTCTATGGGGGCACAGCCTCCTTCAGGTGCATCCACCTTATCACAGAGGTGCTACTGGTGTTGCTGATGGGCTTAGCTTTGGTCTGGAGCAGATCTGTCTTGGAGCTGGCTGGCATTAGCTCTGTCCAATGTGGGATAGTTTCTGGCATCGTCTCACTAAACCCCAAGCCTGCAGCCTCCCCCCACTACCAAAACCTTGCCACATAAACCAAATACCTCCCTGCTCTTCCAAAATGTACTGTTTTACAGATCTTTGTAATTTTGTTTTAGCTGAAAACATCACAACCCCAGCTGGCAGAAGATGAAGTATATAGAATTAATGGCTATTTCCCAGAAGCATTTTGTTCAATTTGATTTATCAGTCTGCTGAAAAGCTCATGAATCAATGTAATTTCTCTTGAGTTGCCTTCAATTAAATGATAGTACGTAGCTACTTTCTTTCCTTGTAGACTCCAGCCTGAAGCCTTATCCTTTGCTTCTGGAGGTAGTGCAAGTAATTTCATACAAATACAAAGCACTTTTCAAAGTGTGAGAAAATGCAATTTTTGATTTCTTTTTTCTTATCCCCCTCCCCTTTCTACTCTACTGGGTAGCCTGTATGAGGGGAAGCTTTGGGAGACTTTTATCATGAAATGTGTTCAGCTCAGTTTTTGGTCACAGCATTGACAAACTTCTCTGCTTTTGTTATAGCCTTTGGACTTTGATCAGACTTATGCTAAAAGGTGTTGTCTGCAAAACAAACTGACCACACTTCTCTTTAACATCATTTTTACATTATTTTATGTCCATTCCAAGAGTTGTGGCTTTAAGAATGAACTTGATGAATGTGATTTTCCTGTTGGTACTTTTCTGATTTGTTTTTTTTTTACACTGCTTGAGGCAGTATGCCCCTCTGCCCTGCTTCAGGATTCAGGAGTTTCCACACACATTTACATCGACTTGTGTCTCCTACCTGATAAAATCTTGATTACCTATTGCTAGCTGTACTACACTACTCAGTATCAGCTTTTCAGTTGAATTTGGAAAGATACTGAAACCAAACTTGGAAAACTTTAATTCCGTTTTGACTTAAAATAACACAAATCTGTTTCGCGGCACAGATGCTGTAGACACTGTCTCATGATTCTCCTTTTCTGAAAGGTTCTTCATTGCCACAGGAAACGTTATTTTGTGTTTCAGATGACTACTCTGGGCAACCTGACACCCTCAAGCACTGTGTTTTTCTGTTGTGATATGCAAGAGCGATTCCGGCCTGCCATCAAGTACTTTGGTGATATCATCAGCGTGGGCCAGCGACTGGTATGGTTTTTGCATTTGGTTCTTGTAGTAAGTTTTGATCACATGTGTAAATTATTATTATTTTATACAAAGCCAGTTCACTGATTATTCTGTTTCAGGTAATAACGATGTCTTTGCAAATATAATTCTTTAATAATTTTTCATCTTGTATGCTTTCTTCCCTGGCCCCCTGCAGCTCCAAGGTGCACGGCTCTTAGGAATTCCAGTTATTGTAACTGAACAGTATCCCAAAGGTCTTGGCAGCACTGTGCAAGAAATTGATTTAACAGGAGCTAAGCTCGTGCTTCCCAAAACAAAATTTTCAATGGTGTTGCCAGAAGTCGAGGCAGCATTAGCAGAGATCCCTGGAGTCCGCAGTGTTGTCCTGTTTGGAGTAGAAGTATGTGCCTTGCCTTTTTTTTTGTTTGTTTTTGGTACTGTTTAGAGGTAATGTCTGTTGACCCACAATAGTACTAAGAGTTGCTTTGTGTAATTAGAAAAAAAAAAAATTATGTTGCTTAAAGCTCAGATGTACTCTACAGATTAAATTATTCTTGTGTTATTTGTCTTTGATATTTTAATAAAATTTGAAATGGGGTATTTGTGAACTACAGGTCCTTGTCTCAAGCTTGGCTGGCAAGCTCAACCACATTGAGTTCCCTAGTAATGTAGAAAAATATATGTTTGAAACCTTATTAATTAATGTACTCTATTTTGGCATTGTGCCGGTCATGCTATATAATAATGTTTATTTGTGGGTCTTTTGCCTTTTATTTCTCCCCTGTAGACTCATGTCTGCATTCAGCAAACAGCACTGGAATTAATTGGCAGAGGTCTGGAAGTTCATATTGTAGCTGATGCTACCTCATCAAGAAGTATGATGGATAGAATGTTTGCTCTTGAGGTAAGTTTCTTAGTTAAGGTTTTCTCCACCTTGGGCCTGTATGTTAATTTCCTTGCTTATTATGAGCTAATAAGGAATTTCTAAGGACAGTAAGCAGTGGACAAACACAGAATTAAGAAGAGGTGAATGCTTTGATTCTCAGAATAGCTTCCAGGATGGAGAAGAGTTATTCCCTTGTTTTCCCTTGCTAAATTGTGATTTCATATATGGAACTCAGTTTGGGACACTTGGATTTTAAAAGTGACTGTTTTGTGCAATCTAGGTTATTCTGTATAACCTAGGATAGCATTTTAGGATATTTTCACATGGAGTGTTGTCTGTACAGGGAAGTGTGACAGAACATTTGGTTTTGTTGTTCCAAACAACATTTAATTTGCTGTTGAAATGCCTTGAAATGCAGTGAGATATAGTAAGTGATCCTGTTCAAAGCTCCTTCTTGTATGTCTGTACCTCCCTCTGTTCTTCCTCATCAGTGCAAATTAAAGCTTAATCTCAAGACTCTATGATTATAGTAAAGACTTTCCCCTCTTCTAGGAGCTTAGTCTAACTAAATGTTGAGAAAGTGGAGATAAATGTAAAGAGATTTAAAAGCATGTCCAGCTATGAGGGAGCAAATTCATAGTAATGATTTTTTTGGCAGTGTACTCGAATTGCCTACAGACATCGCTGTTGGAAATCAAAAGCTGATACTCAGGTTAAGTATAGCAATTTTTGCCTCAGGCCCTAGCAATTATTTGGAAATTGAAACTTAGCAGTAACTACAGGATTTTACACTTTTTTTCATAGATTTCGAGAAGACTTTTAATTTCTTCTCTTTCTTATGAGTAAGAGAATTAAAGGCTAAAGGCAAATAACCAGCATACAGCATTTGATGAAACCCATGACTTTGATTAAGTGGAAGCTTAATGTCGTCTGTGGCGTAAAGCGCGGTGACGCAGGGAGTGCAGGAGTGGCTGAAATCATGGGCTTCCCAAGTCAGTGTGGTGCCGCAGCAGCAGCACACAAAGCAAGCAGAGAAAAACTGAAATCTGTTTGGCTGATTGTGCATGTCTTCGTACATTTGATTATCACTTACACTGGGAATGCAAGTGAGGAAGCTGGTTCAGTGTGACTGAGGTCACAGCAGTGACTAGCTAGCTTTGCTTTTCTTTCTAGTTGTAGAAGGTATCAATCATCTTAAAAGCGTGGTTGGTTGCAAAAGCTATAATCCAGGCAAAATGGTTACATTTAGGTAACTTTTTAGTATGTCTTTGTAATGTTTTCTCATCAAGAACAAAGACATTTTTCTGGGGTCACTCAAATGTTTGTTGTTAAAATATGACTCAGGGAACATTTTCTGGCTTTCTGTGATGAGCGAGACAGTTATATGGCAGTAACTCCTCCTCTTCCTCCTTCTCCTCTTCCTCCTTCTTTGTGGCTGTGCATGCTAACATTGTCTTCTTTTTGTGCCATGAAGCCTCTCTTAAAAATGCTGCTGAGGGCTGTGGGCTAGCGTAGGCAAGAGGTGGGTGTGCTTGGGAGCAGGAGAAAAGGATGTATGTACTGGCCATGTCAGTGCTTCTGATTGGCCATGGCAACACATTTCTTAGGAAGTTGGTAAAATGCCAAAGCACTTGTTAATCCTGCTGTAGTCTCATCATACAGCTAACAGTTCCTAGCCGTGCTCTTTTAATTAGTGAGTCTGACATTGTTGTGCAAACTTGCTCAATACCTGGTAAGCTGAGGTAAGATTTGTTGATCTGAGTTCCCTGGATCCTTCTCCTCAGCATTATGGAAGAGATACAAACTTACCTTTTTCCAGTGACACAGCCGTCCTGTGTTCACAGTGACCTTTCAAGGATGATAAAGAGTGGCCTTGCATTAATAACAATCAGCTTCTTCAGCAACCTCAAATAAATCCCATTCGGTCCCACACACCCAGTTCTCCACCTTACCCCTCACACAGCATCTGCTTTGATGGTGCTGGTGATGCATGTTATAAAAGCTCACCAGGTGTACAAGAAAGTACAGTTTGAATTAATTGATAGCCAAAGGTTTCATGTCTGACTGGGTGACCCTAAAGAGTTCTTGTCTCTGCTTCTGTTGCATGTTTAAAAATGACGGCAGGCAAAAACTTGCAACCAAAAAAACAAAAGGCAAAAAAAACCAGAAACCAAAACCCTTCAACATTTCCACTGATGCAATAAATCACTCCAGCTGATTGAGGTTATGGCTGTTATTAATTTCTGCCCTATCTGAAGAAGATGCCTTGTGTTCCTGCTTAGTCTTGCATTGAGCCGTGTTAGTCTGTGCCTGCTGGGTTGCTTTTCTGATCCACATCTGTTTTACTTGTTCCTGTAGTGTGGATGCAACACACACTTGCTGTTTTCCCGTGTCTGAAAGACTGTTCGAAGAAAACTTTTTCTTTCCTTTAAAGTCATCCAATGTGCTTAGCTTGTGCATCTCTTCATTCCTACTGATCTCAAAACTATATAAACTATACTTAGTCGTAGGGGTAGAATATGAGCCAGTGCCAGCCTCTTTGACATGTTATGGTAAGTTCTGCTTCTAAAGAGAAGAATTCTCTTTTTGCTATCAGCATTTCTCAGAAGGCAAGGTTTTAAAGCCTGTTTTTTCTCTCATCTATACTAGTTTAAAGCAAAAACTTTGTATACGTGGAGAAGGGTGTCTTGAAAATATAACCATAGTATTTAATTCTGATTTTCCTGTTTTTCTGTCATGTATGTGGTTTAAACTAATGTGTCATTGTACAGAGTAGGAGAGCTGAGGCAGCTCTCTGCTTTGTTTCAACTTAAAAGTATCACAAGGTGCGCTGCCATTACTGCAAGCAGGAAGCATAGAATCTAGCCTTGTTGGTTTATTGTTTTACAGGCTGTGGTTACATATACTTTACCGCTCCCCTAAAATCAGTAACTTTCTTCTGTTAATTGCTTTTTAATTGAAAAACTAAACAACTGTGGTCTACGTCTGCCCTAGGAAGTCTGGAGCTTCTCTTTCCTTTCATATAACGATAATTGAAATGAGTCTGAAGGTGTACATGTCTGCTATTTTCTGCCTCAGGCCCTCCCTTGGCTCGTTCAGCACCCCATTAGATTTGGTGAAGCATGCAGCTGAGTAGAGGTTTATGGTGGAGGGGAAAGCTGCATCCATGAAGAGTTTTACTGCCAAAGCATCTGTACGGTTGCTGGGAACGTGATGAGAAGCAAGGGGTGCTCAGCCTTTACTTACAGATAACTTTGTGTAGCAACAACTGCAGTCTTAAAAGTCCAAAAGCTTTGCCATAAGTCCTGTGGCCTGGGCTACGTGGACCACGGCTCTGTTTAATTGCACGCTTAAGAGATCTAGCAGATCTTTCAGTCTTGCTTTCTATGTAGCTGTGGTTTTTGTTCTGTAGCTTGTGAGAAAAAACTTGGGAATTACTGAGACTGTAATGAGATGCAGGTTTAAAGGATCTGCAGTTATGCCAGCATGATTTATAAGGTCTGTAGAAGAGCTGCTTGTTCTGTCTCTTGAGATTCTTAGTACTAGCACACTGTGTAGTCCAAAGACCGAAGTACTAGTACATAAGGAGCCCTCAAAGAGAAATTGTTACAATTAAGTTTCTTGCTTAATGCCTTTAGCTTGGACCTTCCTATTTGTTTTTCCCCAGGCCTTTCAAGTGTGCATGACAGGGAAGATAGCTGTTCTTGGGGACCTTGCAAGGGGAAAGGCTTTTTAATATAAGAGCGGGTGGGTCTTCTTCATATTAGAATTCACATGGGGAAGAATCCAGTCTAAGTAGGAAGCATTATTTGTAATCCAGGGAAGCCTTTTTCCTCAGTAAATTCTAAAACTGGTCACTTTCTATCCTAGCTTTATAAATGGCACCACGAGGATATGTTGGAATTGAATTGGCAATACTTCTGTTAACAGGAGATGTTTATTAAAAACCATCATCCATCTTTTTTACAAAATGTGTACTTACTCAGACTTGCGAGAATTTCACATTATTCTCTCTGTGCTCTTTTCTCTTTCAGCGTCTTGCTCGTACTGGAATTATAGTTACCACTAGCGAGGCTATATTGCTGCAGCTGGTAGCTGATAAAGAACATCCGAAATTCAAAGAAATCCAAAATCTCATTAAAGCGAGTGCACCTGAGTCAGGGCTCCTTTCCAAAGTTTAAAGAGGATGTGGAGGAAGCAGATCTCATGGAGGAAGGAAAGCTGTAAGCGCACATGTACACCTTATTTCGCTCAGAGTTTGGTAGAAGTGTAAAATTGAAGTTGACATACTTGTGCTTGCCTTAGAAAATTGTCTGGTTGTACGTCTGGGTGCCAGCATGTTCTGTTTAGTTACAGCTGTCAGAGGTGTTTGGTACCATAGGACCCTTTTGTTGTCAAATTTACTTATTTATTTAAAAAAACCCCAAAAGTTAAGAGAGGTGCCTGCTACTCTATTCTATACACTGATTGTAACAGCTCCAGAAAGTGCATATTTCTGTGACACCTCTTGACTGTGCACTTCGTAAAAGTGTTCTGTGATATTCTGTTTTACTTTTGTGTTAATAGAAGGTAACTACCCATTGGATAAATGTGATGTGATACACTTTAATGTTCTGTGTCAATGAAGTATTTTAATAGGGCATAAGTTAGATTAAAACCGAGTAAGGCAGTTGGACTACATGTGCGCTTTTTTCTCTAGGATAACATGCAAGTGCTTTGCTTCATAGGGCAAGATGCATAGATAAGGCAGCAGTTGATGTTTGATTGCTTTAGGTAGCTGAAGCTTGCTTTCAGTTATTCTGAAATTGACTGCCCAGCCTTGTACTTCACACAAAAAGAAACCTGTCATATGATGAGTTCTTTATAAACAACTGGTATAAAGTCCTTCAGAACTAGCAGAAGATTACCGTAACTTTAAATACATTGACAATGGATGTTGGACAAAAGCTTGTCAGATTCAAGTGCTGAATCTATTACTATATTTAGATTTATTTTGGCTTTTTAATACCATTTTAGTTAGGATGAATAATACCATCTGATTTACTGATTTGGCCAAGTGAACTCTGAGAGAAATCTCAGCTTCTCTAGGTTTTTGCCCTATTTTTTTTGTGGGCTGCAGTTGGGTGGAGTTTGAATGGAATCTGACCTAAAAGTGTTCTTCAGAAAAATAATATCTTTAATTTAATCATATATGTTTTTTCTATCTAGAACAAATATAATTGTTCATAAAGTCACTTCATGTTCCAGTGGTTTAAACCATGTTTTATAAAGTTTACAGTGTGACTGAGACATTTATTTTTTTAAAAGAGTACTAGAAGAAGTCATACTAAATACTGATCTTTTTGGTAGAAAACCTATTAGAGTACAGCTCTTGTTTTAAATTGCTTATTTTCCCCACAAGATGGCTCTAAAAGAATTGTTTCAGAAAGTTATAACCTTTATATGTTCAAAACAAATAAAATGTTAACATTTGCTGTCTCTCTTACGCTTGTGATATTTATTGAAGCAATCCTGAAAGCTTTGTTTGCCATGGACCTTATTCTGGTTTGTGCAGCTGTGTAATTTCTGTAGATGTCATGGGAATTTTGTGTAAAGATCAAGGGTGGATAACGTCTAATAATTCTTGTCTTCTGTGTCTAGTTAATGTTATTTAGTGCTCGAAAATATGAGGAATGAACGTTATGCTTCAAGTTGGAGGCAGGGAGTCGACTTTAGTTGGAGAACCATTGTCCTATATCACTGACCTACTTTTTACTTTCTTTTCTGGTATATTAATCACGCTGCCTAGCAGTATAAAGTCCACTTACATAAATCAACAGCTGTGCGCAAAAATACTATAACTATCCTGTGAAATAATGGTTTTATTGCTTTCTTACCTTTGTGTTGATGGTACCTACAGTTAGTAATTGATGGAAAAATTAGAATGGGTTTTTTATGCAGGTTTATTTTTAGAACAATATCCATTTCCTCAATAGCAAATGCATGGGGTTTTAAGAGATAATTGTACTAAAAATCTACCATTTTTATACAAAAAATAAGTTTGACGACAAAAGTCAAAAGCTCCTTTGCACACAGTCTTTTCTTAACTAAGTTTTGTACTACAAGGGGAGTAATTTGGTAGCAAGATGGCATTACAGAAGAATCTATAAAATACACTGATATTCTCTGTGGTAATTTTACTTTTATTTTGTTTTCTGTATTTGCATAGCCTTACTTGGCAAAACAGATTTTTGGTAAGGTCCTTAATTGTTTCTCCCCCCCCCCCCCCACACGAC